CCAAAGTTAGCATAATCCCACTGCAAGATTGGTACTGAAAAAGGTATACGACTGAAAATGATTGAAAAAGATACATTGGTGCATGATTGCTACTGAAAAAGTAGTGAAAAAAATAAAAAGTTGATTGATTCAGATACATATACTGTCAGTCAGATGCAGAAAAGAACAGTGAAATTACTCAATAGATTTAGAATTTAGTTTTGAGAAAAGCAGAAAACTTTATTCACAATAGAACTTTCTAAGTGTGGTAACATCTTAAAACAAAAAGCAATGCTTACCTTTTCTTCCTTGGAAGTAAGGACCCGATATCGTTCCTTGTTGAAAAGCAAGCCCATAGCAGTCTGTTCCAGTTTTAATTTCATTTCATCAATGTCGTGTTTGTCCATCTTCCTCGTCAAAACATTTGCCAATCGTTGTTTATTACGATATATTTCTTCTATCTTCTCCTTCTCCAATTCACCACTGACAATTTTTTCAACCTATAATTGAAATTAGTTGCAGCGAAATATAAGTTAGCAAGCCTCTTTTTGGAAAGAAATTAGGTTAAGTGTAAAAACCTGTGACCAAAAAAAGAAAAAACACATGAAACATATTATCCAAACGAAATGCTTCATTATTACAGAATCCTACAGCTACTAGCTACTTATGACAATTAAGAAACAAATTAAATTTCTTACGGCATACAGTCGCTCAGGATTCAGTTTCTCAACAGCTGGTCGTCCAGTCCTGTATTTTATCGGCTGTGATCCGGCTGACTGTATAAGAACATTTTGGTCTAAGCGTTTACAGGAATAGCGGAATTTCTCATCATCACTTAGCTCTGTTACAGCATCTCGGATCTGATATAAAATTGTGAAATCAAGTTATTGCAAAATGTTCAAAACTCTCAGAGCAAATCAAAATGTCTTTTGAAGGTCTTTTGCACTTCACCTGTAAAAATATCAGAAAAAATAACATCATGAAAGCATTCAATATGATTTCGATAAACAGCAAATATTAATTCTTTAATAACAACAGTGACAAATCCACATGTTTTAAAGTTATTTCATACATAGTAGAAACCAATCTTAGAGCCAAGCTTAAAGTAAGCTTTATCTATAGAGATAAACTGGCAGTATACGTCACGCCAGTAATTATCGCCACATCTCAAAAAAAAGAAAAAAAAAAAAAGGAACAGACTCAAATTTCAACTGAAAGTAAACGACAAGAGAAAATGAAACCTCTTCTACATCAACATCTTGCTTGCCCTCCAAAAAGCCTTTCATCATTCGTTCTACATTTTCGTTCAATACAGCAGTCGATGAAAATGCATTTAACAGATCGAATGCTCGACGGCAGATTGGTTCAGTTTTCTTCGTGTAAGAAGTATCTACCTGTACAAATATTCCTTAAAGTTCCTGAATTTGTTGGCTTACTTTATTTTTGAGCAAAAAATACAGAAATCAGGTAGCATAGTTACCTGTCGTGTCTTCCGCTTATGAGATATTGTACTAGTTCTAATAGCATTCATTAGCGTTTCTCGCATTCGTTGTGAATCACTTTTTAGTGCTTCAACAATAGTGCTTATATAGATAACTCGTGCATCTGCGTTTACATCAACCCATTCTGCATAATTTTTACAAGGTGGTTCAATACTGTACTCCTTTTTAACTGCAGAAAATACTTGCTGAAAAGGAAATTTGGACAAGATATAATTAGATGAACAGTGCACTCTTAACAGATATATATTTTTTTCAGTTTGGAAGCTAGACTCTTTACGGTATTAATGTTGAAATCTGGGTGCATTTTTATGGAGACCGTAAACTTTTAAAACAATTTACCTCAATGACTGCATTAGGATCATCAACAGCACAAAGCGACAAATAATCCACTAGATCTGGACGAAATTTTCCTAATAAAGCAGCTAAAGCGCGTCCATCGTCCCAGCTAAATTTTAATTTAAAATTCATGTCTCATTTTTCTTACATTCTCATTTGAAAAGAATAGAAAACTTATAAACCACAATCCAAGTAAATTACCACTCCAGGAAGTTGAAAATATGCAAATGATATGCACCAAGAGCTTGTTGACAGAACTTCCATAGCTTGTATCTGAAAATTTATGAACTTGATATTTTAACTGAATTTCAATTCCCATTAACTATAATACAAATGTAAACCTAATATTTATGAATCCAAAATTGATGAAAAGGGCAACAAAATACCTTTTAATATACATTTCACCAACGCACTCAGCTGCTTTAGCAGCTCGTAGTGGTAAGGCTTGATTCGTTTCCACATTTCGTGGATTATCCGTGTCAATCAGATGGCTTATTTCATGCGGCTGTACCGCCATTTCCAAACTAATATAACGCGTTCGTGGATCAATCGTATACTGCAAAAAATAGATCTGTATGTTGCTTCCGCAATAAGAATTAAGCTTTCACTGTTATCTTTTTCAACCGATAATATCCTATAAAGAAGGACCAAATGGGCATGTCTTGGACAGACTAATAAAAGAATACTATTCCCTGAACAATTTTTGCTTGAAACATTGAAAGTAACTCAACTCCTGCTTCTTATGCGTGATTATTCTATACGTCGAAGTTCCACAAGAATACTAAACAAGAAAGAAAAAATCCGCAAAGCAATGAAAAAGCTTTAGAACGTACTTTATGTGTCTGTTTATGAAGATTATCTGGTTTCGCTTGTGCCAATAGGCGATAAACACTTTCACGCTCAGCGAGAAGTACCATCAGACCTTGCACATTCAAACCATAAGCTCTTAACATCCAAATCGCATCGAAGACACCCAAAAATCCTCGCGCACATCCTGAGCCTGTTGGCCAGAAAGGCTGCAATTGAAGTGCTTCAATTTTTTAGTTTTTAAAACTACTTTTTCGTATAACGACACAAGAATTTATTCAAGAATGGATAAAAATATGAATAAATTGCAAGTTTTCAATCAAAAATTTACAAATCCGAACAGTAAAAACAGTTTGCAAAAATATTCAACAATAATTGAAAAACTGCCGTCATATTCTTCTAGAATGCATTCTAGAAGCAACTCACTTTCCCATTTTCCTACAGTGACTATGAAATATTATTTTATTTACTCGGCAATATCAAATCTTTCCGCCAGCACAATAACCATTGTTTAATGACCATTATTTCAAGCCAAACGTAATTTATGTGGGCTTCGATATTCGGATTTATGCAAGAGTTCATCCAGCGTGCAGTCATGTCAACAAAAGGCACAATATACTATGTAGACAGAGAATCTGGTTATCACGAATTTAGTTGCATCAGTCAAAATCAAAAAAAAAATCGATTAACACTTATTAGAACACAACAGTTCCTTTGTACATATTGAAAAGACGCACCTCATGTAAACTGTCCCCGACAATCGACATTAGTAATCGTTGATCATACCGTTCAACAAGCCGTACCGAACACTGCGCCGAAAACAACGATGTAAAATCAAACATTGCAACATCTTCATTATTGTTGTGATTCCGTGCATATTTCAAATTAGGAAGATTACCGCTAGTGGCGAAATCGGCTGCCTGTGCCGCATAATCGCATAATTTTTCCTGAAAAAAACTCAAAGAACTTAAACAAACCTGATCAATAAAATTCCTACTGATAACTAGAAGAACAAATAACAAAAAGTACAATACCTGATTTATATTATTAGGCGATAAAAGAAGCGATACATCTTCATTGTCCTATAAAAGAAATAATAATAACAATATCACAAAAATCGAACGGTAAACTGCAAAACACCAGAAATAAACCTTCAAACCGTAACTTCAGCTTAAATAGCAACAAACCTCAATAATTACACCTTTTTCCAACAAGCTTTGTTTTTTAGCACACATTACGAAATAGTGCGTTTCATCTTTATAATAAACGATATTCTCCAAATCGATACCCGTTGCTTCTTTCATATCTTTGAAAAACTGTTGATTGAAAATATAAGCAACACCACTGAAATGGAACAAAAAAGAAAAATCAAAACTGGATCCTTGTAATGATGTTCAATAATAATAAGTAAGATCAGACTTCAATAGCTGAATTAAATACGTAAGATAAAAAGTTGGAAAAAAAACATTAGCACGAGGATCAGAATTTCACAAAGCACCCCTTCAGCATTAGCACTTGCAACCCTTCAGCATTAGCACTTGCAACATTTAAATTTTTTAAAAAGGGCAAAAAAATTGGATACGATTATAGAGAACCTTATTTCCTGCACTTTTTCTTCAGCAGGCGTTCGCTGATTCACAAAATTTGCAGTTATTCCAATCGCCAATTTGCCACGCAGTTCTCGTTTCGGGAAACCTGAAGAAAGGACTTCATTTTGATCAATTATGCTGCTAAATTACGGTTGATTACAATGAATTCAAATCATTATATTACAGAAGTGCACGAATAACAAAGAAACAAAACTGAAAACCTGGCACAGTATTACGCTTTCCATCTGCGCCAATTAAAGCATCAAAGACGAAATCCGACAGAATATGCCTTGGAGGATAAAATTCTGCCCGCCATCCTTCCACTACAATAACGATTTCAACCAGAAATGGTTCATTGTAAATAGTACAAATCAAAACCATTGAACATATTTTAGAACGGACAGAAAGCAGCTTCTTTCGACTATCATTAATTTCGAATTGTGCTGAATTACCTATTCCATTGTCGTTAGGCTTGGGAAAAATTAAACGTTGAAAAGTGATAGAATCGTGTATTTGAACACCCAGAACCAGGGCAATTTTTCACCAAAAATATTTGCAGCTGGCGTATGCCTGTACGAAAAAAAAAACAATTAATGCCTGTACGAAAAAAAAAAAACAATTAATCCAACTAAGACCAAATAATAAATGCTAGAATCCAGTAATAAGGAATTAAAAAAAAAGAAAAAAAACTTCAAGGAAAGTAACGCAACAACGAAATATCAGACAGAATCCATTCAATATCAGTACTCGAAAACTGTTTACTGCCCATGCAAAAAGAAAGTTTAAATTCAGAAACAAATCAGTGTACTCAAGTAAAACTCAATCAGTATTACACTGAAACAAGATTACAGATTAACTTCAGTAAATTAAGTACCAACAACAATAAACCAACTTATATGGTCGATACTACCGCGACAAAATTTTGGATAAAATATTTTGATTCCCAAATTTTTGAGATCCTGGATAACAAATGGCCAAATATGTAAGACATTGTTTCTTGAAAAACAATCTCGTTGTTCCACCAACACAACGTAAGCACCCAGTAATGCACACTCGATTGCTGATCGCAAACCGCATGGTCCTTAAACTGATTATTAAATCTACATTACGATTCCTGTGCTGTACAGGATTAATTATAAAGTGACCTTAAATAAGTCTGAGCTCAAGTCATAAGGTTTCGAGAGTGCGTACAACATACAACATTTCCGATGACTTTCATATCGCTGATTATCACCGCTACTTAAAAGGAAAACAAGCTGCCGATCGACCCAACGCCCAATTCGAAAAATACAAAATTATTTGGCAGAATTTCATAATATGTTTTTGCTGGCTGAGATTAGAAACTTCCAAAAAGGTGTAAAAAATCCAACCAGCTCCAATGATAAGTACACTTAAACGTTCACACGCTTTCTGGTGACAATATTCCCTTTGTTCAGCTCGTTTCTCTAACAATGACCATAGCTTCTGTGCGCGCCAATCGTTCAGTACTGTTTTCAACCTGTCGATATGAACATCTAACTCAAAATATCGATATCGAAAAATTCAAATATTTCCATCAGTATCCATGCATAGTTCTCCTTATCCACTTGATGGACTTTTTAAGCATCTCAGCTTGATCTGATGTTGATTACTTCAGACGGAACATTTTACACTTCACAGAAGCAATCTATTCAGAATTGCCACTTTCGCAGCTAGACTTTAGCATCCAGATTTTTAGCTTTTAATCTTGATTCATCCCCTATTTCCTTAACCACTTATGTTTTATTCAGATTATGTGTGCACACCCTATAAATGATTACTGAAACCAAAGTTTTGCAGCCTTCGTTTTTTAGCGTCTTTTTAGTGAATCCGCTTTTTTTTTCTGTTTCTCTGACTTCATTTGTTAAAAGGCTATGAATTAATGGCTGAAATGATTCACCCTTCGAGTTCGTTTTTATAACTAATAGAAAAAATGTTGTGCTACTCAGTAACTTAAAGCTATAGACGTAACTCAGTAAATTAGACTGCCGAGCAAAAGTAAATAATCCCCTGTTTTTGGCTGCACCAGAAGTAAAACAAAAGCCATATAGTGCTACATTTCTCCATGCGAGGAACCACCGTTCGGATTAAAAACAGCAGATTAAAACCAGCAGATTAAAATGATGACTTTAACTATAATCAGTTGTCATCAACTATTTCATAACACCCGATACTAGTTTTACACATATTTCCTCTGCTTCAGGACATATGGTCTTGTGTGTTTCCTGAATTTCCGCAAACTCATGCAATAAAAATAAACTATTCAGAAGCAACAATCAGAACTACAGTAATAATGGCAATCGACAATCCAATGACAACCTCAATGTAAAGCGAGGATGCATTAAAGTAGGTACAACAAAAACATTCTTATTAAAATCAGTTAAACTTAATGCCGTTACCAAACTCTACGGAGTCATGTCATAATTGACTAATGACAGTTATTATACCTTCTGAACACATTGAAATTATCGTATGGGTCGATATCCAGCAGTGCGCAAAGCTGAGCGAACAGTTGCTGAATCTTAGTAAAACTTGTAGCTGCAACAAAAGCGTCGAACAATCTGTTAGCATCCATACATGCTGTAAACACATTAATGAATGCGCAAACTATCTTGTGATTGTATGATCTGGCGTTAGTTCGTTGCTCTGTCTACAGCACAAAGAATAACGGCACCTAATTCCTACGCCAAGTTGCAGTGAATATCTGTTCGGCACGCGGACGTATCCACCTATATCATCTATTTTGTTTCCCGGTGGGGCTCCGTCATATTCACTGTCAACTGTGGAAAGTATTCATTGAATGATTCTGAATTCAACAAATATCATAGCGGTAGCATTATAAGGGATCGCTACTCTTTTCTGCAACAGGATCTTAGAAATCAAAGATCACACCCTAGTGACTCATATCTTAATTGAATTTTTGTAATATGAAAGAAGTGTGCTGATGAATGAAGTTAAGTGTAGCAAATTGTTCTGCGAATTTAATTAAATCTCTCTCCCCTCTCTCCCACTCAAATGAAGTAGTTTAAGGCGCATAGTATCTCAATATGCTTCAGGCAAATTATTAGTACCGTGAATTTCTCTTCCTCTGCAGATTTGCATTGCAAACCACTAGTACACCCTTACCCTTAAGTTTATCATCGAGAAAATCGGACAGTTTTAATAATATCCAGCTCTAATTTTTGCTACAGATATTGAAATTATAGAGGAATTAGAATGATTGATGAAATATCAAAATAAAGGTGAAATCAAAGATTTTTGTGTTATATAAAATTAAATAAATTTTACACAGTTTGAAAAAAAGCCTGAAGTAGTATTACATTAACGAAGTTCCGTTCACCCCCTTTCATTTCTTACTGATAATGATGCTAAAACAGCGACAAAACTGATAAAAATGAAAATTAAAACCAATGAAATAGTAATGATGTGAGTGCTACCTCCCGCCATTGTGTTCCATACAGCACATTTAATGACATTAAATCAACTCTCAATTGTCGATTCCAAATGCGTGTTAAAAAAAAAATGTGGAAAGACATTAAAAGAGGAGATGAAGGAAAACGCAAGAGGAACCGTTATTAGTGTTCAACTGCCCAATACGCAAGAGATCACGGACTTCTGTATTGGTGCACCTTTGTGCACTCGGATATTTATGTTCATAAGTAGAACCAGAAATTAGGCCAAGCAACACATTATGAAAACTTTCGCTCGAAAACAGCGAGTAAAGTTTGTTTACAGCAATTTGTCCTCTTTTTCATTCCTCAATAACAGTAATGAAAGCAATGATTATGGTAAAGACAACACCTTTAAATTAGAAAAGAAATTCGTTATTTAAATGAATAGGTCGCAGTTATGGGGACTGCAAATTTACGAACTTTAAAACTTTTCCATGGTTCCAATCAAACTCCATTTAATGAATTTTGAAGTTTCGTAGTTTGAAATCACTCCAAACCACTAAAGCAAACATCTTTCTGCAACGCAAACGATGTTTCCCCTGCTCATCATTATCTTCCACCTCTCATATCTGTTCTTTCGCAGCAATTTGGATCAATATTTTGTTTTTCAGCTACTGGGATTCAGTGATTATTAATATCCGACAACTCATATCAAACGTTGATCGAATTATTATGGTCAATCGACTCATAAAAGATATAAAAAATAGATGAAAATGTAGAATTTGAAATAGAAATACGAAGATATAATTTACGCCAAAACTAATAAGTTAAAATGAATAAATCATACACTTAATGTAATAAAAAAAAAATGTGAATTCGACTGAAATCAAAGAAATATTTAAATATGGGATGACTTAAACAACTCCAAGAAATAAATTCGAATTTGGTCTTGCATTAGGATTCTCGTACAGAACTGGCAGGTGAATTCCTATTACCATTCATTTCTAGGAATCATTTCCCCAAGTTGAACACCAACACATCACCATTTTTCATAGGCTATTTTTTTTATCTCACTTCAAACAGATGAAGGTAATGAAAAATGAAAAAAAAAAAACACTGGAAGACATTTTCCCGAATTTTCATCAAGACAACGTCCGAAAACAATTCAATGGATTCCCATCCAAAATTTGAAATTGATGAGCTTGAAAAGATACTGCAAACATTTCATAATTCTGAAAAGTAGCAATTGCCTGAGGTGTGCATTTGTAAGAATTCAAAACTGTTCGGAACATTTCCTACTGGCAGTGCAATTATAGATGTATGTAGAAGTGTAGAACAGCTGCGGCCGAGCAACTGTCGTTGCAGAAACGCAGCAATAACAAATATTTTAAGTCCAAAAATTAGTTTAGTGTGTAAATTCTTCTTTGCAAACTGTTTCCCTTCGGTAATAGATGGTTTCATTACAGAAATGAACTGACTCAGGTCGAAAATAAATCAGTACGAAAAAGTAAAATCAACAGGACGCTTTTGTTGTAACATGAGATATCGTATTTGAATTCAACAACAGAAAAAAGAATGAGGAAGACGAATAATCCCTAAAATTTAAACCATAGATTTAGACTTAGACAATCTCGCAAAATGCGGTGCGAAGACATCGGTTTAAAAGATGAACAGATTGTGGGGTTCTGGAATGAAGTTAAAACACAGTCTACGCCTAAGAGCTTTAAATAAAACTAGACAGCTTACTAACTCCTGCTTCGACAATTTAATATCGCAAAAGTCTCATCAATGTTTTTTGCTAGAAACTTCCAGAAACTAATAACATTGACTCTTCAGTTACATTTCATGCCGCATGACTGTGGGCGCGTACAGAAAAAAAAGAACAGGCGGCAGATCCAGAGACGACAGTACTGTCCTCAACGTTGTAGATAAATACAAATATGATGGGACAATAACCGTTAATGGCAATCAACACAATGATGACGATGAGTACAAGTCAACAGTCGTAGCTGTAGGACACACGAAAGCATTGCAAACAACAACTGCGTATCGCTTTTGTGTTTGTGTACTGACAAGCAGACAGACTAGTGCATACACCCCGAAATGGTAGAAATAAGGGGATTAAATTTCGTTCAGCTGCTGTGCAACATAAGGATGACGGAGGAAGTCCTCAACAGGTCCTATTCGGCTGCAGAGATTGCCGGTTAGTTTTTTCATGTTAGTAATAAGCAATCTATGATATGATGCGATGAATCCATGAGATATTAACGTATTGGTTTCACTGAATGATTTACTTCACTTGACTCTCATGAATTTTCTTAGTCAGCTTGGTCCCTGATATAGAATTTCTGAGCACCTTTCTCGAACATATCCATCTACATAGGGAAATTTTTATTTTTGGGAGCAGAAAATTTATTATTTGCAAAGGATACATAAACAGGTAATAAAATAGCGGTTACAGTCGAAGTGAAATCGAATTGAAAAAATATATTAGTTGTCCTACTTCGGTCTTCGTGTAAGACAAAAGCACGACAACAAAAATATTGCATGTTTTGCAGTTTGCACCAGG